TGTTCCTCTGGCCAATGTTAAGAGCAACACTAAGTTGGGCGCTAAGTTATGTTTGAGGGATGGCAAATGACTCAACCATCAAACGTTTTTCAAGCCGATTCTTGAAGGAAAGGAGGAGACTTTGAACTTCCTCGATTCTTGGCTCATCTAGACAATTGTAGATTGAGGCAACGAATGGATCATATTCCGCCAGCAAACCTTCTAGTAGAGTGTCCAAATGATCACTATAGGGCACTGGTTACCCTATTGCAGCTAAGCTGTCAGTCAATGACTTCAGTTGTCCCAAGTAGTGAGAAACAGAGTTTTCCCTTTTTATGAGTTGTTGTAGCTAGTGGCGAAGGTTCATCACTCTTGCAGTGGTTGCCAACTCATAGCGCCTCTTCAAAGACTCCCATATTTCATAAGTAGTAGAGAGGTCAATGATATGACCCATCAACTTTGCAAATAAGGAGGCGTATATCTAGCTCACAAGGATATGATTTATGTGATGCCAGGTGTTGTGATCAGGGTTAATGACTTTGCGGTTGGCGTCTAGGAACTCTGGAGGTTTAATAGATTCGCCATTGATAAAAGAAACGAGGCCATAGCCATAGATAATATTTAGAAGTTGATTTTTCCACATTATGAAGTTACTCTCTTTGAGTTTGACAATGAGAGAGTTGGTTACAGAAGAGTTGATAATTTGATTGATGATGGAGTTCAAAGGAGTTGTAGAGGCAGAAGCAAAGGTTGAGGCATTGGCTATCTCACTTGATTCCACAAATGCCATGTGTTGATTGCAAGCTGAGCAAATAGGTTTATGGAGACTTTGAGAGATAAACGTTCGACGGCAGCAAGCCTTTTTATGGCTTTGATACCATATTAGCAAAGAGGAAGAAAAGTTTAAAGTAGCAAACAGAAACAGAGGAGAAAAACATGCTTCAAAGGTTTTACTCAATTCATTTCACTAGGGCTAAAATACATCGAGAGAGTATATATACACTTGAGAGTAAATCCAAAGAGAATAAAATAAAAGAATGAAGAATAGTGTTACGTGTCTAGACGTGTTTACAAATATGTTACATGGGTAATAATTCCCTGCTATGCTCCTATAGACTCATTGTGAGCCAATGCTGTATATACCATAGCGAAAGTCGATGCCCTTTTGCTGGTGTGATTTTGTAGTAGATAGGTTTCTTTCTTGTTTTACAAAAACAAACAAACACTTCTATCCATCAAATTGCACATCTAGTCTCTAAAACCTTTCCTTTGTTCATTTGAAACTAAGTGCAATCTATGCCATTTGTGCGATATCTATGCATCTAGCCTAGTGCAATGTTTATATTATGCCATTTTGTGTGATTTTTGTGCAATATTTATGCGATTTTGTTTTATGTGTTCGTGTGAAACCTAGCAAGTAGTCATAGATGCTAATATTAATTTTTTAGTTTTTACATTTACAAATGAATTTTCTCAAGGATATTAATTTTTTTAAGAAAAAGGCAAAATAAATTTTTTTGTATTAAATTAAGTAACATAAATAATTAAAAACCAAAAATTTAAATTTTATTTTAATGAATGAGACAACCTACTAATATTTTTTTTTTATTAGAACAAACAATTTAGTTTTATTTTATAAGAATTTTATTTTATTTTTATACAATATATTTATGTAACATATGGTATAAAAATATGCATAATAAAAAGATTAAATTTTATATTTTAAATTAAATCTATTTAACTACAATTGAATAGAAGTTTAACAAAATTGTCAGTTAATCTGAGTTAAAGGAAGAGAGTTGTTTTTTTCTTGGTAATAATGATATTAAATGTTATTCAAGAAGTTTATAAAAAGTTGAATTTTTTTACCAAAAATATAATAATAACATAACAAAATATAATCAATTATTGTGCTGATATTTCTTTAGCAGAGAGAAGATACCAAGTTAATTGGACAAAATAAAATATATATATTCATGATAAAACGTAGTATCCAAAGGCAAAATCTACAAAACCGACAGCATATAATTCTTACACTCGGTTTCCAATACCCTTCTACACGAGACTTCAACGGCCCCTTGTTCTACATGTGGGACTTCAACCACCCAAGTTTGATTTGCTTTCTAACTTCTTTTAAAAAAATTTTTTTATAACAACATGAAAGAACTAATATAAAATGAGATGTCACAATCTCTCCCACATAGACACTTGACATTTTTGTTAAATCAAAAATTTATATTTGTATTTAAACATAACAAGTTTGAAACAGGTCTTAAGATTGTTTTGCTTTGATACCTTTGTGATGACCTGAGAGTTACTAGCCTAAATAACTTGTTGAGTCTGAACCACTGATCCAAAATATTTAAATCCAAATTATTTAGTAGTAATCTATAGCCTTTTATGTACTATACAGATTATTCTCAGAAATCGATATAGGATGGGATGTCACATTTTTTCTCTAACTTACCACTCTTTGCACCATTTTTGGCATCATAATTTTTTTCAAGATAGTCAAATTCTTCATAATCAACTTGAGATGATAAAAACGATGTAGCCTTAGAGACAACCCCCTTAACTTCTTCATTTGGGTTTCTCTAATTACTACAATGATTAATTTTACTCCTAGGGCCTCGTTTCTTATCCCATTTTGGACAAAAGCCAGACTCATTATTGACTCCATTCAGACATAGAGTTGAAGATACTTTCTTTGATTAATTTTGGCAACAAGTTTACTGGCCTTCTTCATTTGGGTTTTTCTAACTGTACACCCTTTGTATCCTTTACCCTTCCACATTGCTAGGATGGGAAAGATCCAGCCTTACAATGTCGTTCTTGGCATTCTCTTCATCTCCATTTAGATATGTCCTCGTTAGAAATCTCACTGCGTAAAAAGAATTTATAAGCAACTTCCATCAGTTAAGGTTTCATATACAAGATGTAAGTTATAGCTATATTTAATTATAAACATTCAAGTTCTAGCATGTAGTATTAGGAAAAAAAAAATTCATTCACAAGTATTTCTAATACCGAAAAGCTTAGTTTTCATAACAAAGAAAATAAAGTAATATACATACACACAGACATATATACACGCGCGTGTGTGTGCATATAGAAACTATTCATAGTATAATAATACGTAATTAAATGTATTTCACAAATTATTTAAATAAAAGTCTGGAATTTTAAAAAAATCTGGTTAATTAATTTTCAAATTTATTAAGTAAAAAGAATTAGATTTCACATTTTTGCTTTCATGCCTTTTTTTTTTTTTTTTTTTTTGAAGTTCTTGCTAATTCACTGTTCACATTCACTTTAGTCAATTATTTTTCAAAATCACTATGCTTCGAATGGAAGAAAAAGATTATATTTCCTTTCATATTTGATGTGGTCCTATTAATTTGATGAGAAAAACCTTGTTTCCATTATCCAACCATAGCTCACTTTAATAGGTTACATCCAATCACATTAAATTAATAATTTATATATGAATAATAAGTTTGTATACTGATTATTGGCTGCAAAAAGGTGTACTCCTTGTGGAGGCCAGGGGTGTAATTGAAATGTAATAGCAATGTAAAAAACATTTTGCTAACTATGTTAATTGGGTTAGCCATCTTCGTCCTATATAATGTCCATTGTATTCATTAATTACTAACAGTTCCTTCAATATTTAGCTAAACAGAAGCACTTCTGCAGCCATGTGTGTGCTTATCAAAATAAATAAAATTTCAATTTTCAGATCTCATCATTTTAGTTGACAATAGAAAAAGGACCTTTGTTCCCTCACCCCTCTCCCCTGTTAACGGTTTATGGAATGGCAAATAATACAAGCTACTAAAATTCCCTTGGTTTCGCATTGGTGAGACATGATTAAATTATATTAATATTTGCAAAAGATAATGTAAATTGGCATATGCTTTTCCAAATTTACCAGTGAAAATTTTTGAATTCACAAAAGTTAAAAAATAATCCTTTTATGATTGCTTTGACAATTTTTGTTTTTAGTAAATCTTCACAGCAATTGGCCAAAATGTTAAAAAAGAAAAAAATTGTTCATTTAAAATAAAATACATTGCATATAAGAAAATGTTGAAAAGAAATGAACAATAATGAATTAGGGAAATAAAAATAAGATAGATATATATGTTGTTAAAGAAAAAAAAGTTAGGAAAATAAAAGTAATATGATATACAACCAATTAAATTGATTAAATATATATTCATTAAAATTAAAATATATTAAAAACCCGTGGTGGGCTAAAACTAGCTGTAGCGAATGAGTCGAAGTCTTATTTTCTAAACATATTTTTCAATTAAAAAAAGCTCTTTTCACTTGGATCAATTATATGTGAATAATTTTTTTTGCAGATGTTTTTATCTGTTTTACTGTTTAAAAATAATTATTACCTTTTTAAAAATGTATTTTCATGATTTTGAAAATAATTTTATTTGAAAATATTGTGTTGTTTTTTAAAAGAATAAAAGAAAAAAAAAATTGTGTTAAACTTACGAGCCCTCTCACCTATCCAAAGATTGGACCATTTGAGGAGAAAATGGTCTGCCAAACATGTCTTCTTCACCATTTCCTGTTTTCACTGAAAATGAAAACAGAAAATGGCGAAACCAAACAGGCCTAAGGGCCCATGTTTCCTTATTTTAAAGAGTACATGGTACTGGTATCCGTCCCGTGTCCAAATCTCCTCTGCAATTAAAATTAGTTCTGTTGGGAATTGGACTGCGAAGTGGCCATCCAATCGTCAGCAGATTTCCGTTGGTCTCTCACTGTTGCCTCAGTCATCCTTCCATTCGAAGTCGCAATATCCACCGTTCGATGGCTTCTGTCTACGACGACTCTGACTTTTCTCTCTCCTCCAGCATATCTATGGATTGATGCTTTATTCTTCTGTAGAAAAACAGAAACACGCGCACGAACTCAACAAGTACAAGAAGACAATTCAAAGTTTCATTTATTGTTTTTATGTTTTCGTTCTGAGACCATTCGATATTCCAGTGAATTTCTTGATGGGAACGAGTGGTTTATTTGATCTGGAGAGGCATTTTGCCTTCTACGGCGCTTACCATCGCAACCCAATCAATATCGCCATTCACATGCTGTTCGTTTGGCCAATCTTCTTCACGGCCCTCCTTATTTTGTACTTCACGCCTTCTCTGTTCAACATCCCTCTAATCGATCTTTCGCTGTTTGGGCACGATCTAATTCTGATTTTGAATGTGGGGTTCTTGTTGACTTTGATTTACGCTGTATTCTACGTCTGTTTGGATGTGAAAGCTGGTTCTCTGGCTGCCTTGCTCTGTTTCATTTGTTGGGTAGTCAGCAGTTATCTAGGAGGCCGAATGGACTTTTCATTGGCTTGGAAGGTGAGGCTTATGGCGCTTGTTTCATTTACTACATATGAATTTTAATTGGATTTTTGTATTTGTGTCTCAAATTGGATGACGCACACAGACACACACTGGATAACTGTGGTGCTACTGAATTATGAACAGGTTTGATTTTGTGTAATCGGTGAATCAGAACTTGATGGTGTAGCAGGCATATCCGTTCTTATGTTTGCGAGCTGTTTTCTATTAAATAATAGTGAAAACGGAACTGAAAACAAAAATCAAAAAATAAAGAATAATTGGAAACAAAAATAATTTTGAGATCTGGATTAAATTAGTCGCTTTGGATACGACTATAAATGACTCCATCTATGCATTTTCTGATGCAATCCTGGAAATACTTTACCTGTACCTTATTTGTTTTGGATGTAGTTATGTAAGAATGGTTGCTGCATTTGGACCTTGACTTTCTTTGATGTGTCTGTGTGTGTGCCCGCGCGCACGTGCCCGCATACGAGAGAGGGTGGGGGAAGGGGAAAGAATACGGGCTGGATTGTTCCATTGAAGTGGATATATGGTTTTTGTGGAAGTGTTGTTACTTGTATATTGCCCAATGAAAATTGAAAGCAAACTTGTGATCAATCGATTGATAATGCAATAAAAATTTGTTCTTGTCCACTTCATGCTGTCTTCGTCTTTTCTTTTCCTGTTAACAGTTTTAATTTTAAGAACTTTTTTGTTACATGCTATCATATGATTGCCAGTGAACTCCTTTTACGTGTATTTGTAGTAAGTGGAATGTATCTAGCTCTTGGGAAGCCAAAACAATAAGATCCTCGTACTTTAGTAGTCTCTTTCGCTGGATTTTCTTTTTTCTTTTTCCTAGCTTCCATCTTGTTTTATCAGTTCTTTTGATTTCTTTCTTTCCTGTATACTTAGTTCCCCTCCTACAACGCTACCAATCTCCAGGAAATTTCTATATCATCCCACCTTTACCTTGTTGTCCTCGGTGCTGCTGCTTTCATTCTTGGGGCACTTGCTAGTCTGATTTTTTATTGAGCTGGAAATCATAAGTATTTATCTTGGTCTTTGAAATGCTTCTTTTAACAAAGTCACTGTTTTGAGAGGAAGGGGCTTTGTGGAGCTGCAGAGCTTGTTGCATGATAAGTTGAGGTATTTCTAGCACTGAATAATCAATGAAGCTGCTTTTTTAGATGAAGAGTAAGGTACATGTCTTGACTCTCTTTAAACTTTGCAATTGTCAGGAGGTCATACAGAGCTGCCCTTTTAGCAAAGTCTTTGTATTGCTACTCCCCATAAGCCTCAAGTATTCTTCTGTTGCTTATTCAGTATCATCACTTTGGCTTTGGTGTTTTTGCCGGTTCTTATCTTTCTACATTACACACTTAATGATGCTGTATATTTCCCAATTTAAATTTCTAATGTACTAGACAATTGTGACACCAAAAACTGAACTGCAGAAGGTTACTTCAGATGGCATGCTCATCTAGTGATGTTGACTTGAGAAGGCCAACTTCCATTCTAAAAGCTTTCTCAATTTTGGAAGATCTAGTTTTGTTTGGTGTGTAAACAAGGATTGAATTAGGACCTATCTTTTCAATATTTTTTTTTTTCAAATTTCAGCAAGCTGCTGTTTTAGAACTCTCTCATGCTTTATGTTTTCTCTAATTAGGTGATAATTAATTAACTTCGTTATGAAGCTTCATCCTTTGTTATTTGGTAACTACTGTTTCAGGTTGTACTGGTAGCACAGGTGGCATGTTGGACAGGACAGTTCATAGGCCATGGTGTATTTGAGGTAATGTGTTATGCCACAATCACCTCTATTATAATCAATTTGCACAGACCTAACTGCAAAAATATTGTGTAGAAACGGGCCCCAGCTCTTCTAGACAATCTTAGTCAAGCCTTTCTGATGGCTCCGTTCTTTGTCCTACTGGAGGTTGTTACTATTGTTATTCCTTATATTTTTTCATGCTTGATTATTAAATATGAGTTCTCAAAAGAAAAAAATATTAATGAACTGCCATTATTTGTTGATGCAGGCTCTACAAAAAGTTTTTGCTTATGAACCATACCCAGGATTCCATGCAGCAGTTCGAGCCAGGATAGAAGCTGAAATTAATGATTGGGAAGATAAGAAGCAGAAACTAATTTCTTAACTTGATGAATTAGGACTGAATACAAAAGTATTTTAAATGATAAGCCTTCATGTGTTATATGTACTTTTTCTATAGGTTCAATTTGCCAAAAACCTCAAAATTTATACAAACTGGTCACACATTATTCTCATCAATAAGTTAAATGTGGTAGTCCCCTCCTGTTCCAAATTAGTTGATGAAATCACTGAAGGGTGCATTGACTGAAGTTTATTTTACTTCAAATTCCTTTTTGTCTTCTAGTATTAGTCTATAATTTTCCCCTAAGCCCTATTGTTTAGGCTGTTGGTCTGTAAGAACTGAGTGATGGACTTAAGTAGAAAGAAAGATGGTATGTTCCTCTTCCTCATGCAGCATCACCATTGTTTTTGGAGGCTAAAAATAATTGACAGATCCTTCGGGTCTGAGGAGATGTAATGCTCCATTATTCCTGTTACATGTCAAAATTGTGATATTGAAGCTATCTAGTATTAATATGGTTTAATTTTAAACAATACACACACACACACACACACATACATTGTATAAGGCAGCATGCTATTACTCACCAAGATAGGCATGGTGCATTTCAAGCTTAATGAACTGGTGCATTTTGAAGGGGTTCCTACAAGATTTTATGGTTGGAATGCCCTTTTTTAACAATGGCATTAGCTTCCTAGTTAGCATCTTTAAATATCTGCTGCATATATTAACATTGTGATCTCCTGTCACATTTTTGATAATTTTACAACAGGACTGCTGTCTAAGATCTGCTCCTTTTTGAGGATTTCAAAATTAAAAATTAGTGAAACTCTAGAATCAAATTTATACTTTTTTTTATTATTATTATTATTTTTGCATGGAGCTGCAAGCACATTCTACCACGACTGATGGATGAATCTGTAATAATGATAATTTTCTCCAATGACCATTCAGCTCTCCTGAGCCCTATAGCAGAGATAAGTTTGCATCAACGGAAGCTCATATGGTACATTCTTTCAGGACTAAGGTTTAGGAGGCTAGCCTAGCTAGGATAAGCTAAACTGAGGAGAAGCTTGTGTGCAATAGGTTGGGGAGAAACTTGTATGAAAGAAGTTGAGGTTAGTAAAACTAAACATAGTTTCTAGAGTTACCTAAATCATTGTCTTGTAGTACTTCTTTCATGTAGTCCAGCAATTTGCAGTTAATTCTACCTTCTTCATTAAAAAGGATTTGTATACCTATAAACTTCAGAACCTTTTTATTCCCTTAACAATGAATGACATTACTGCAATAGACATCTATGTCTATCAGCTTGCCTGGTTTGCTTTATTCCCACACACAAGAAGTTACTAATAAGGTTAGGCCATTGAATTTCTATCAACAAATAAAACTAAGATTATAAATAATTTGCAGCACTAGAAATACTGGTAAAATTCATGAAATTGAAATTTGTTGATGTCCAGGAAATGGCTGCTGAAAGCTTAGGAGTTGTTCTTTTTCAAACCTTAAAAACATATGGTTTTAAAATTAAGACACATGTCTTTAGGGTATAGTGCTTTAAAAGCAACGAGATATCATTTTTTTATTGTATATTTTTTAGGCATGTTTCTAAAATTGTGTTTTTTTATATATTGTTTTTGAGACAAATGTTTATGTAAAAAATTAAAAGTTAGTGGTTGAAATGAAGAAAAAAATAAATTAAGGAACCTATATAGGATTGAATTGATGAAATTAAAATGTAAAAAATTAAAATGAAAAGTAGTTAAAATATCATGAACAATAATACACACATTATATGTGTGTGTATGTGTATATTACATGTGTACGTATAATATACAAAATAGTACATTATATAAAATTATATATTATATGTATACATTTATAATATATAATACATATACATATACATATTTATATTATATGTATTAATATAATATAATATATGTAATGTATTATATTACATATTTTAATATATAATAAAATATATAATATATATTACATATATGGTATTGTATATAATATAATTTTTTATTTTAAAAATAAGTGAAGCAGCTTACTTCAAAAATTGAGCAAAGGTTAATGGTTTTGCTCAGTTTCAAGAGTAAAATACTTTACATTTTAAAGCTGGTACTCCGGAGATATTGTTCAAAAGAACAATATTTTTATAATTTTGGATTTAGAAATAGAGGTGCGTGCTTTTGAGACTGTAATAGAACAGCCTCTTATATTCCATGACACAAATGACAAGCCAAAAAGACACCATTTAACCTTGCATGATAGGCTTCCAAGAAAGCTATGCATCTCTTACTGCAAACTTTGTAGCTGCCCTACGGTTATGATGATTTAACTGTCTGGTTGATAAACTACTAATTTAGTCCTTGTCTTGAATTTGGCTTTTGAGCTGTATAGCTAAGGGGATTTTAGGGTAAATGTCATCAATTGATCTTTTGCCTGTTCTCATGAAGTATGATGTTCAATTACCTAAAATAAAATTATAAAGACATTACATAACATTCTTTGAGCGGCTTTTTTCATTTTAACTGGTTCAAGTTTGGTATGCCCGCTTACATGATTTCGGATGGCTATGGACTGTGGCCTCAATGAAACGGAATTGTCTTTGCCTTTTACTGTCAGTCCCTTTTCTTTTTTTTTTTTTTTAAACCTCCTTGTAAATAATTTGCATGTATATATTTCTTTTGCAAGTTTGTTTACCACTGCAGACCCCATGGAGGAGTGTGGTTTTGGAAGTCATTAACAGTTTCAATGAGATTCAAGTCATCATAGGTGTACCATAATTTCAATTAACATGAACTATTCCTTGTTGGATAGGATTTTCTTTGTAAGCCTATTGTATTGTTTTCTATAACAAGTCACTGGGATAAACAGAAATCTGTGACTATTTACCATCCAGATGATGGTAACTGTTACTTTGCACCAATGTCAACAACATAATAGACTTGTGAGAATCTCAGAAACGCCTGCCTATGGTAACCTTTAATCCATGTGCCATAGATAGAATTGTCATCATCCTGTACTTTACCGGATGACCAGGCACCAAACTGAATTTGAAAAATCTACACAGAATAGCCAGAGCCATCTTCATTTGGAGATATGCAGAATCTTTCCCTAGGCAGATCCTTGGCCCAGCCTGCATGTCAACAAAAAATAGGCTTCAAACAACAAAATTTCCAAAGTTGACATATCCAAATGGAAGTTTTTCAGAAATGATGTTCGCCTGTATTAACAAATGCAAGTATTTTCATTCTTAGTCATTCAAAAAGTACCTGGAATGCAGTGAACTTGAATGGAGATGCATTCTGGAAATATCCCTCTTTGAGCCATCTCTCGGGCTTAAACAAAGCTGCATCTGGACCCCAATTGTACTCCATTCTGCCCATTGAGTAGGGAACATATGTCACCATCCCTCCTGCCTTTACTTTAGTTCCATCAGGTAATACATCATCCTCCAAAATGCCTTTTGGGTCCTGCAAATGTACAAATTCAGTACTTGTGTTCATTTTACTCGTCATGCTAATCACTAGGAAAGTGAATAACATCCAAACATGAAATAACCCAATGAAGAATATTAAAATTCGCATGTGATGGACCTGAGGCACAGCAGGGTATAGTCGGAGTGTCTCAGTGATCACTGCATGCAAATAGGATAATCTTCCCAGCGAATCATAACTCAAAAGTTTAGCATATTGTATTACTCTTTGATTAAATGATTCAGGATCCTCTGTATCACCCTGAAGCAATGTCACCTTTTCTTCCCTTGCCCGTTCTTCTTCGTAAGTTTTGAGCTCTGAGTATAACCTTTCTGCTACATGGTGGTGAGTCAGTATCATGTATATGGCCCAAGAGAGAGTTGTGGCTGTTGTGTCACGGCCAGCAATGACAAAGTTCAGGACCACATCTCTGAGGCTTTTATCAGTTATGTTGTTCTCTGTGTCTTCTCCAAGTTCAATAAATCTTGATAATATGTCATGCTTCATCTGATTATGTTCCATAAAAAGTTAAGTTATTTCGCTTCATGGCAACAGAAAAGAAACTGTCAACTGAGAGAAGTTCTAGACATCCTTACCTTTTCATTGTTACATGTCTCTTTTGTTGCTACTATCTCTGCTTTCCTTCTTTGAATGACAGAATATGTGAAATCATCAATAATTTTGATGCTCTGGTCAAGTACTGCTTCTGACCCTATATTGAGGAATTTCTTGATTCTCCATAAGGGGTCAATAAATCTAAGAGTTACTATAACGTTTGCAGTGTCGAATGCCCGAGCAAAGCTGTTTTCTGGTAGATGGGGGGCCAGTGTACCTATTTCTACCCCAAAACCTACTTTACATATGGAGTCCAAAGTCATCCTCATGAATAATTCCTGGAAGAAAAGATCTTTTATCTCCTTTAAATCATCAGTTTGCTCTCTAACATATTCAAAAAATTTCAGTGAAGAAGTCTGGAATCAATTGTCTATGAATTGCGACTTACCTGCATATCCACATGTTGGTTTTGGAGAGATGCATGACTTAGAATATCAGAGAGCTTGAGGCTATATTCTCTGAAGACCACAGTGCTGAAATCCCTCAAGTTTTTGGAAGCAAACTCAAAACTTGCAGTCTTCCTTTGTTTCCTCCACAGCTCACCATCCACGTTGAAGATGCCATCTCCAAGTAGCACCTCCATATATGAGTGATAAATTTCACCCTTCAAAATGAATAGAATACCATGACCATTAATGTAAAGGGAAAACAAAAAGTTGATGGATAGGAGTGAAATCTCTGTGCAGTAGGATCAGATTTACACACTTGAGACTCCTAATAAGTCTAGAAAGGAGACTTGGGGGGATCTTTTCACCTTTGGGTAATTAGTGAAGTTGGTTTTGAGAACATGTTCTACATTGGCAGGATCAGCAATATAGGTATACGTGGTGAATGGCATTGGGACCACCAATGTTCTTGATTCAGAGAGATATTTGGCGAGCCAGTCATGCATTCGGTCATAGTTCATGAGCTGCTCAATTGCTGCACCAAAGAATGGCCATGTTTTCGGCCCTGTTGTGGTCCTCTGCTTCCACCTGTGGATGAAGACCCATGACAGAAGCATACAAGCCACCACCAACACTATCGTGTTGTATTCATCTGTCGATATAAAGGGAAAAGCCGTGTGGTTCAGGTTCTTGTCCTGTCCCATTTTGGAGAGAAGAGTGCTTAGAAGGGGACAAGGCCATTGTTTCTTATAGAGATAAGAGGTGGTTGAGAATGTAGGTGGCCAGTTTCCTAGCTACTGCATCATCAACATTCGCTCTATGCATGTGATCAAAAATAGCTTCACACAATTGGTATCCCTTACCTAACCTGTATAATATCAAACAGGTGGGCCCACAGACTCGCAGGTTTGTGTTCGTATTACTTGACAAAATTTTTAGGTATTACTTAGAACCTTAATGACTCGTCAGGGTCAAATGGTAGCCCAAGCTTATCCAGAACTCTTCTCATTTGTGCAGCTTGTGGGGATTGGATAGCTGATTGCTTCAGCAAATGATCAAAATGTCAAGCCAATAAGAGTAATCTTTTGAGTCCATGCATGCACCAACTATATCATTGGATTCTAGTGCCAATAGATCAGAAGCACTTTTTTGAAATTCTCATGATATGGTCATCTTATCTACCCTTCAATAAAGTATTGCTTCTTTACACCTAAGCGAACAATAACTAAACAATCTTGTATTGGAACATCCTCCCTACATTCCATATCTTTTGAAGTCAAAACTGGGAAGCCATGCGGCCCACCTACCATTGTAGTTCTCTATTTGATTTTACTTTAAATTTTTTTTTTACCATACTATTTGATGAAGCTGTAATGCCATAGCCTGGTCAAAATCCAAATAGAAAATGATTATCATTGTTAATAAAGTATTGTGAACATCCATGTAAGACCTTTCCAATATCATTCTAGAAACTGTCACTGATCAATGGATTCAAATTGCCAAGAAGAGCTGGATCTGTATCTTAATTAGCAATGTTATGAAATCCTCCAAATTAACTTAATCATTCTTCTGTAGACATTATTCAAGGTCCCTTCATCAGGCATCTAAAATATTTCTTCCCATTAAATGAAATTTTTACAATTTCTGAACAGTTGCACCAAATCAAGCCCAGCAAACCCTATTAACAATATATATATATATATATATATGTTTATTTATTTATGTATAATCACTGAAATTGGTACATTGAATTCAAAAAAATTGGCTGGTTTGCTCCACTGCTATGGCTTCCTTGAAACTTCAGCGAGTTCATGTACTGGTGTGGAAATTCCCCCAACTGGAATTTGTCAAATGTAATTTGGTAATTGTCAATGTAGGAGTCGTATGTATTGTCATTCAATAGCTGGGGAAGTGAGCCCAAGCTATCCAATTCCCACATTTGAGAGAGTGAACAAGGCCTTGGAAGCTTCATCAACTGTGAGTCATTGGTTTCAGATGTAGTCCCTGATTGGGCAGTTGAATTTTCGACAGTTTGCTCCAGTACTCGGCCTATATTTTTCTTCTTATAGATCCTGCAGAGGACCCAATCATCCAACTGCAGAAAAAACACAATCTTGGTCAAAACAGACAACATATTTCCAACATAACGAAGCAGCCAGAAGCAGAAGCTTACCCTCATAGATCCATTTCGCTTAGTTTGGCTTTTTGATGAATCGCTCAGCCTGTATTCATGCATAATCCAATCCGTCTTCATACCCTTTGGGGGCTTTCCCTTGTAGAACACAAGAGCCTTCTTGACTCCCACATACTTGGCTCCACTGTAAATGGCCTTGTCGGTTCCTGTGGCCTTCCAGTAACCAGATACAGCGGCTCTATTGGGTCGAACCCCGTTTGGATACTTACGGTCACGCGGGCTGAAAAAGTACCACTCGTGCTCTCCAAATTCTGCCTTCTCTACACTCCCATAAGGCGAAAAATCAATGTCAGCTCATGTAAGAAACTCAATAGCATATGGACAAGGACAGTTTAAAGACTCAATAAGATCATCTCGTTAAAACTTTCTTTTTCACTATCTGAAAAGAAGACTTGACCACTCCATTTTTTATCTCAATTTGAGAGGAGCCTTGCATCGTTACACAGCATAATTAATCATAGCCGTCCATGTAATTAATTAAGAGAGTTAGAACAAATGTGTACAACATGGAGGGCTGTGATTGGCTGTTATCTCTCTTTAAGCAATGCATGGAAAAGTAATTATGATGAGGTTATGGATTGTAAAGGCTAACCAGGGAGTTGCCAAGGATCAAACTTGTAGATATCAACCTCTGGGATGATGGAAACAGGGCATGGCCTTGAAGTGGCCTGGTTTCGGAGGTAGAACATGATTAGCTCCTCGTCCGTAGGGTGAAACCTAAAACCAGGAGGGAGGTCTGCCGAACTACTTCCCCTTTCTACCATCTTTTTCTCGCACTGAAGAGATTAAGTAAGATCAAAGGCCAGAGAGGTTGGGTTCTAGAGGTAGAGGAGAGGTCGAGACTACGAAAGAGGAGAAGAGAGGAGGCTATTTGAAATATTGGGAAGGAGAGGACTAGCCATTTTACTTGCGTTGGGATTTTGTCCTCTAGCGTCGGATCTTTTATAATTCTAGGGATTGCGTCACATGGGTAAGCTGTTTTCTAGGACTAGGATGGACCTAGTATGGGCAATGCGTGCCATACTTGCACGAGTGGATAAAATGCTTTACTTCCCTGGAGAGATATCCACACTTGGAATTGGGATTGGGAATATTCTTCCATGGAAATTGGCATTGGTTGGAGACCTTTTAATCGTCAAATTTATCACTCAACCCCTAATAATTAAAACCAATCGCTCGTTTCTCGCGCCTATAAAATATTTTCATTTCTGCACCAAGAAAATTAAACTTCCGTGACTCATGGAGGTATTCTTAGACTTGTGCACTAAGAGTTAATTACATAAGCAAAGTTAAGACTTCATGATAAACAATTATAGGATAGCAACACAATTGAATCACGTATTGTCATTTTACTTGTTAGTAAAGCACCCGTTTGTCTACTAACTTCATTTAAAAGTAATGACATAGTTATAGAAATTAACTTCTCCATGTTAACAAGAACTCTTAAAAATAATTTTTTTATTTTTTAAATAATCCTAAAATTAATTAAAGACTTTATGCCTTTTTAAACCTAAATGTAAAATAGAGAGATTGTTTAAAATTCAATTAATTAGGTAAAATTTAAATAATTATTAAATTTTTATATTTATATTATAGTTTTTTTGATCTCATATTATACATATTTTTTAATTATTTATTAAAATATATAAAATTAATTATTATTCAGAAGTAGGGTTGTTATGTACTGATTTTATATAAAAATTGTCTCATGCAGGGTCAACTTCTCTTGATAAGTTAATTTAGGTGGAACTGATTATTGAACAGAAATTAGTTTTATATATTTTAATAAATAATTTGAATTATGGATAATTATATAAATAAAAATTATTGTATTAATATGAATAAGACACTAGTATCAATATTTAGGAATGTATGAACAGAAAAGAAAAACGCAGTCAATGGCGTAAAGAGAGTAGGTTGCTTTTTCCTACTCGAGCAAGTACCTTAATTACTTTTCAACCTCAGATTGGAAAGCAGATGGAACAAAACCTGTGCGTTACGAGCCTAGTCGCCAGGTGGAGCCGTCAACAACTGACTTAACAACTCGACACGTGTCGCAGGTCAGAAGAAAAGGACAGGAAAAGGATAAGTATCGGGCAGAGTCCGAATGGGATGGCATTTACGTCGGTTGGGATTTTCGGTCCTTATCCACCCAGCTCACCCCTTCCCGGGCCCTCACTGGGCATCCATCCCTCTGCTGATCTTGAAGTTCGACGCTATCTCTGCAGTGACCCAGGTTTAGGCACCTCACTCTCAGCGTGTCATATTGTGGTCCTTCCAATCATCATTCCTGTTCCCACAAAACGTGGCGTGGGTGAATTGTGCACCGTGTTGGCACGGAGAATTTTCTTTTTTCTTTTGAATGTAGAGAGAGAATATTCTTTGAATCTCGTATGCTGGATTGAAGCCGCCAATTATGTCCTCATTTCTGATTGGCAGTTTGGCACGCGCAGAGGCGGCTTGTCTTTGTTGACCAACGACCCTCGGCTCTCCCATGCCTAAGAATATTTTGAACTTTCCCATTTGGAATCATGGATAAGGAGGTGAACCCGACTTTTACTATTCGTGTGTTAATAGATGTCAAAAGTTTAAATTTTTAATCTTATGATATAAATTTTAAAACATTTATTTTAAAATAAATTATCAATATCTATTAAAATAAAATCATATAAAATTTGAAATAAAGAACCATTCTTTATCACAATAGGTCAAATATATTACTTACATTTAATATTAAAAATTAATTCAGTAGGTCAACAATTCTAATATTTGATAGATAAATATTAAATATTAGTATTTGTATTAATTAAGTTAATATAAAAATTTGTGACTTGAAAAGTTAAGATTTAATATTAAATAAATTAATATTTACAAACTGATTTAACCAATGATGTCTGTCAAAAGTACTTCAAATCAATGGCTAAAAGCTATTATCTCTTTAACAATGTTTCCAAAAGTACTCCAAATCAATGGCTAAAAGCTATTAACCCTTTAACACGTAAAAGACATAATGTGAATGGGGTTAATAATATAGGTCTAATAGCCGTGCAAAAGGACATGGACACTTAGGTAGCAAGAACGTGGAATAGGGATAGTGTTTGACAAAAACTCTTGCAATTGTTGTTCCCCAACTAATTGACTTGTATTCCACTGTTGAAAGCTCTTCATCATGTTGCATTATACATGAGATGATTTATTTATTTATTTACTTATTTAGTAAAGGATGATAATAAACGAAATACTCGACAAGGCATTGTCATGCGATGGATATGGACTATTGAGTTTCATGGATTGAACAAGTCCGGAGTATAGGAATAAATACAACCCCACTCTATGTGATTCGAAACCAAAGTAAATAAACCAAGTCACAGCAAGATAGAATAAACTAATGTAAAGGAATATCGAGATTTTTAATGTGGAATACTCAACTGGGAAACACCACGAGACATTTGTTTAGGAATTAAATCCTCCTAGGAGGGAAAAATAATAGAACAAATTCTTTTTCTAAATTAACCGGAAGAATTTGGCAAACAATTAGAGTAAAAAACAAAGTACTCTTGCGGAGAACAGCATCTAAGTGAAAAAGAAAAAAGAACAAGAAGCAAAATTGAACCTTAGAAAACCACCGGACATGCCAAAAGTATTGAAAATGTGGTAGGTTTGAACTACCAGTTGGTGGTGTCAAATACAACTTCTGTTCTTCTGACCGAAGTTAGCGGAAGAAGATGGGTTGTCGGCTGAGGGTTCACGACGGGAAGGAGCTACACCGCTCTCCCTCTCATTTTTTGTATATTCTTCCCCTTTCTCTCTCTATTTGTATTTTGCTCTTTCTCTATATTGTTACTGTTGTCATACCTCTACTTGTGCTAATTAAGCCTGTAAATAGGCAATTGAAGACGCATCGTGGAGATTAGAGAGAAAACAAGATAACCCTATATATGAGCATGTCGGATGAAGCTAAAGACTGTACGTTTTATCTAGAAACCTTCTTCCTTATTTTGTTTTCAGAGTATAGGCTTGGCTTGCACATGAAAGTGATAACCTATTAAGGATTCTTGCTGAAGAGGACACCGAATTTGCTGATTTAATCCCTCATAGTATAGTTGAGTTTTCAGATTTTCCCTTTGGATTATTTGCCTTGGTATTTGATGCTTCAAAATATTTTTCACAGAAAACACCCTGTGAAATCTGGTCTGGTCATTCAAACTTTGTAGTCTAACAAGATGGCTCCAAAGCTTTAATTTTGCTGGAGGGACCAATTTCAACACCTCTCCTCCCGACTAAGTGATAGGCTCTCCAAAGCTTGCTTACTTTCTACAATAATCGATTCTTTCGAGCGGGCTTAGTTATCATATTTGAGACATAAATGTTTTCAACAATTAACGACTTTATTTCAATTGCTGCAACCGTTGGTACATAATCTCACTGTGCTTCAATCTGGAGTGGAAGGTAGGATGCTTGCTTAAGAGTGTAGCACTTTAACAGTCACAGTGTACCATAAACTTCCCTTGCTCAATGCTCAATTCCTACAGAAACTCTTCATCCAAAAGAACTCTTTTCTACCTCCTATTGGAGCAATATATTCAGCCTCTGTATAGTGGAAAATCCAACACATTTCTATAGTCTGTATTGCCATGAAATAGCTCCCGTTGCAAAGTTCATTGGATATCCTAAGATAGATTTCCTTTTGTCAATACCCACCAAATCTTTGTCCGTATAACCATCCAAGATAGGGTTTTGTTGCCAAAGCCTACACTCAAATTAGAAGTGTCTCTAAGATATCTAAAGATTCACTTTAATTGTAACCTAGTACTCTTTTCTAAGGTTTGACATGAGCCTGTTAACGACTCCAATGACAGGAGAGTTGTCTGGTGCACACCATAACATACACCAAACACTGAAACATGTGGAATAATATTCACCTCTTCTTTCTCTTATATATTGATAGGGCTTTGTTTGGAACCAAGTCCGAACTGTGTTAAGAATCGAAGTTCACAGTGTAAAATATTAGAAACTTTCCGCACGTTGTGGAAGTTTATGTAAGAATTTATTATCAAGTATAATATATATTAATGGTTACTAAGATGGGGCGAGTTTTTGATGTATATAAAAAATGTAACCATAAAAAAAAATATTTGTATTTTAGGATGTACATATTGGAGTATTAAAGTTAAGATCTTACATGTTGGATCATACCTGGAAATGACACATGATATTTTATAGTGGAATTCAAACGAGGGCTATAACTTTTGAGGTAGAGCACATTCATACCTCCTAGTATTGTAAGAGGATATTTGTGGGACACAAGGCAAACCAAAAAGACGGCAGCATGGTGGGTGGTTTTAAAGTGAGTGGTGAGGATAAATGAAGCTTACTAAAATTTCACCAAAAATTTATTTTACTGAATTTTAACATGATTCTAGCGCTAAATTTGATATTTTCTTGTATGTTTTCTTTAGAAGAAGTTAAACCACAATTTTCTCTAGATTATTCTGACCATTTATTTGGGCATTTCCCATTTCCTATGATTTTTCTATATAATTTCAAGTGTCACGGGTAGTTTAAGGATTAGCATTTACTAAAAAATAATGAAGAATGGAATTTAAACAATTTTTAGTATGAAAGATCATTTTTTTATTTTTTGCTTTGAGCCGAGAGTAGGGAAAGGGGAAAAAGGGAAGCTAGAATTTAGTACAAAACCTTCTGACCCATTGAAATCTTGTGAACCTGTTCTCATATCAAATTAAAATGTTCGTTGGGTGAATTTAAGATTTAG